AGCCCTGCAAGGAACCCCAACCACTTCCTTTCAAACGGGGAAGCGACCTCCATGTGCTCAAGCGCTGAGAGATGTCAAAACCGTGGATACACGTCACGACGAAATCTCGCGCAACGGCCCCCTTTCGAAAGGGGGGCCGCCTTCCGTGATAGCGGCTGCGCCAGATCTGTCGGCGGATTGTCGAGGGTGGGCCGCTTGAGTATAGATGGTGGGTGTTACTCGGAGGCAGGCGCGAGGCCACAGGGAACCCCCCCATCGCACGTGAGGAACATATGCGCCGGAGGCCGCAAAATCCTGGAGGACGCATTTCTCTGGTGAAAACGGCGGCGATGTGCATATGGAGGATCCTCGACCGAAGCTCCGCTGGCTTCCAGACCCCGCGCTCGTTTTGCGGAGGGTCTTCGCGCCATCCACGCGCGCAGCCCGGGGCAGTTGGACGTCGAGTGTGCTCAGCGCCGGGGGGAGAGCCCCACAGGGAAGGGGCAGAAACGCCTCTACTCCTCATCTTCCTCCTCCACCTCCTCCTCCTCCTCCTTCTCCTCCTCCTCCTCCTCCTCCTCCCCCTCCTCCTCCTCCTCCTCCTCCTCCTCCTCCTCCTCCTCCTCCTCATCTTCCTCCTCCACCTCCTTCGGTTCCCGCTGTGTGAAGCGAGGGCGCGCGGGGCCCGCAAAGCGAAAACCACATTGTCAGAACCGTGCGTGGTCCATGCGCCGACGGGGCCTGGACTCACATGTTCCTTGAAGGCTCCTGCAGCGAAGAAGCGATGAAGATGAGGGTGTGGTGCTGTTGCTGCTGGTGGCGACGGCGAGCCTGGGAGCCCTTTGTAGCGTCTGTGAGCGCCAAGCAGCGTCTTGGAGCGCCTGGGGCAGCCTGTGAAGCGCTTGGGTCCACCATCGGCGTCGGCGAAACGTGCCCGAAACGCACCGATGTGTTACATATTTCTTTTTGGGGCCCAGGTGCTCTTCCAGGCCAAGGTGTGGGCCGATGTTGAAAATCAGCAGATGCGCACAGAGTTTTTGTTAACAAAAAATGATCAGGGTTGGTTGTGATGTCTGCGCGCCGAACTGTACTGTATGCGCACGATGGTGATGGTTGAGAGAGCGTGATCCACCGCCGCTTTACTGTGGAAAATTCAATCCCCTCTTCCTCCGGAACCCTGGGGTCCCTCCCCGGGCCCCCCCCTTCCTTCTCCGAAAATCCCCCCCTTCCCCCCGGCAAGCCCCCCCCCCTCCCGAATACCCCCCCCTCCAGAAAACCGGGGGGGGGGGGGCACTACCGGTTCGAGCCCCCCTCCCCCCCCTTCCCCGAAGACCGGGGGGGGGTCACTACTTGTTCGAACCCCCTCCCCCCCCCTCCCCAGAAAACCAGGGAGGGGTCACTACCGGCTCGAACCCATCCCCCCCCCAGTCCATCATGAAAAGGGGGGGGGTCACTACTGGTTCGAACACCCCCCCCTCCCTCGAAAACCGGAGGGGGTCACTACCGGTTCGAACCTCTCCCCCCCTCCGTCGAAAACCGGGAGGGGTCACTACCGGTTCGAACCCGCCTCCATCGCCCCCTCGAAAACTGGAGGGGGTCACTACTGGTTCGAACCCGTTCCCAAACCCCCCTCCGAAAACGGGGAGGGGTCACTACCGGTTCGCACCCCCCTCCCCCCCCTCGAAAACCGAGGGGGGGCACTACCGGTTCGAAACCCCTCCCCCTTGAAAACCGCGGGGGATCACTAGCGGTTCGAACCCCTCCCCCCCCCACGCTCACCGCCAGCCAGCAAACAACTCTGGGTCCCTACCACCGTCCGCACCACATCCCCCACTGCTGTCCCCAGCACCACTGTCCTCACCACCACTGTCCCCACTGCTCCCACCACCGTCCCCACTGTCCCCACCAGTGCCCCCACCAGTGTCTCACCGTCCCCACTGTCCCCACCACTGTTCCCACCACGGTCCCACTCTCCCCACTTTCCCCACGGTCCCCACCACTGTCCCACTGTCCCCACTGTTCCCACCACAGTCCCACTGTCCCCGCCGCTGTCACACTGTGCTGTCCCACCGTCCCCACTGTCCCCATCACTGTCCCACTGTCCCCACTGTCCCCACCACTTGCCCCACTGTACTACTGTCCCACCGCTGTCCTCACCAGCGCCTTCACCACTGTCCCCACCACTACCGTCTCCACCACTGTCCCACTGTCCCCACCACTGTCCCGCTGTCCCCCTCACCATTGTCCCCACCACCACCGTCCCCACCACTGCCCGCACCACTGTCCCACTGTCCCCGCACCACTGTCCCCACCACCACCGTTCCCACAACGGTCGCAGCATCCCCACTATAGTCCAACTGTCCCGAGGAGCGGGAATCGTTTGCCAGCGGCAAGGGGGGGGGGAGGGGAGATTCGAACCGGTAGTGACCCCCCCCCCAATTTCCGAGGGGGGGGGGGGAGAGGTTCGAACCGGTGGTGACCCCTCCCGATTTTCGAGGGGGGAGGGGGGAGGGGAAGGGGGGGGGGTTCGAACCAGTAGTGACCCCCCCCCTTTTCATGATGGACTGGGGGGGGGGCAGGGGTTCGAACCGGTAGTGACCCCCCCCCCCGGTTTTCGAAGGGGGGGGGGGACGGGTTAGGACTGATGGTCGGGTCGGATGGATGTGCCCCATCTTCCTTTACACCTGATGACGGAGGTTGGGTCGGATCGGCGAGCGCCGGAGATGATATGCTGTATGGGATGGTGGAACCTGGGCTGGATGCATGCGCGCTGACTAGTATCCATACTCCTGATTTCGTAATAAAACGGAGGGGGTCTGGACCCTCCAAGACAAGCCATTTCAGACCTCCCCCGTGGGAGAACCCTCCAAAACATCGTCCCCAGACCCCCCCAGGCCCTCCAAGATAGCCTGGAAGAGACCCCCCCCCGAAATGAGACCCCCCTCCCTTTATTACGAAATCTGGAGTATCATGAGAATGGCTGGGCCGCATGCGCGCCAGATAGAAGTTCTGTAACTCAGGATGATGAGGGTTGTGTCGTCTGCATGTGAGCAAGCTTGCACCTGTTGCGATGGATGGTGACGGCTCGGCGGGAGGGATGTGACATAATCGAATATGTTGCATCGAGTGGTGAGGTTGGGTTATACGGATGTGCGCAGCGCTAAGGCGAGAGCCACATTTCGTAAACCGACCCGGCTTCATCTTTGAAATCGTTGCAAGGTTTGAAAAGAAGGTGCGCGGCGCTAAGGCGAGAACTAGACTCTAAAAAACATTCGCGCTCCAGCCTCGGAGCTGTTGGAACTCTCAAGCTTAAGGATCATATCTGGCGAGGAAGTCTTAGGCGAAACAGTTGGCCCGGCCCACGGACATGCACGAGAAGGGATCGCGTTTCGAACAGCAACTCGTCTGGGCTTTTGTTCGCCAGCCCACCTGCTGACGCAAGCGCAGGATCAACCCCTTACGCATCGTGAGAGGATGCGCGGGAGAAGCATGGGGAGATGGGGGGGGAAGGGGAGGAGGAGGAGGAGGAGGAGGAGGAGGAGGAGGAGGAGGAGGAGGAGGAGGGGTGTTTAAGCAGAAAGAGGCGGGAGAGGGAGAGGAAGTGGAGGGGGTCGCGCACAGGACGTGGGGTCGTGGAGAGCTCGCCAGCACAGGCCATCCCCAGACGCCCTCCACACGGCTCGTGTCCGTGCGCACCTTCTGGTTATCGTTCCCCCGCCACACCCCCCAACTGGTGGCTGCAGCGACATACCCCGCTCGATTGATACGCCGGAGCTGCTGCTCATAATCCTCCGCCTCCTCATCCCACCTCTTCTCCTCCTGCCATCCCCTCTTCGAGGTCCGTCCTCCCAGGAGGGCCAGAAAAGGGGAGAACAAGGCGACGGTAGCCGTATCGGCACCTTCTCCTCCTCCTCCTCCTCCTCCTCCTACTCCTAAGGGGTGGCCCTGGATCCGCGGCAGCTTGGCCAAACACCGCGCGCCGCGTGTAAGGATTTCGAAAACCCGGGAGACCGAGTCTGGTGGCTGCTAGCGCAATGCCCATCAACTTTGGGACCTCCACCCCCTCAAATGAAGCATATCACATGCATCTTCCTCCTCCTCCTCCTCCTCCTCCTCCGCCCCCTCCCCCTCCCGTTTCTCAATTATTCCCCTCTGCGGAGGCGTCCGAAAGAGCTCCTGGGAGCGCCTAGAGGCTTCCTGCTGTGGCAACTAACGGAAGGCTCCCATACCATCTCGTTGGCTCTTGCGAATCGACGCTAGGCGATGCTAACCACGCCGAATCGAAGCTTATCGAGCCATCTCACCGAGAACGAAATACGAATCGTCGCGAGAGCGCTCGAAAGACGGAACTACGAATGCATGCGTCATGGAAGCAAACAGAGCCGCCACCACCGCCAGAGCACTATAGAACATCGTTCCCAAAGGCCCCCCCAACAAAAACTGGTGTCACTCCGTCCTGGGCACTCTCTGGGGGCGCGCCCGGAACGGGGTGCCTGCCACATGCTCAGATGGGGGGGAGCGGCCAGCTCCCCCCTGACTGGTGGTGGCGGTTCTTCCTTCTCCGGGGGACGCAAGGCTCCGATGACTTGCTGCCGAATACCACGAGGCGTCCGCGAGGTTTCCAGGGAGGCTCGGGATCCACCAAAGGAGGGGGGACCCTGAGGGGTGCCATGAGTTCGATCCGCTGGTGCACCGAATTGCCGCGCACACATGCCCCCCGCATGCCCCACTTATCGGGAGCTGCTGGCGGCTGGAGGGCATCTGTCTTGGGCGATTCTGGGAAAATCAGACGGTACCGGTACCGCTACGCGCTGGACCTCTCCCGGGGTGCGTTTTGACCAAGATTTCGAGGTGAGTCCGGCGGTGGCGACGAGGGCCGCCGAGGCGGCCCAAACCAGGGGAAACGAGGGCAGGATAGAGGTATGGATACCTTTTTTTCCCCCTCCGAAGTTCGGTGCACAAGCCGATCGAGCTAGCCCAAGCACCCCGTGGCCCCACCCCTTGGCGGGACACCGGGAAGCCTCGGAAGAGCCGAGGCCCCCGCCGTGCACGCTCATCTGGGGCAGCGACGCGCGCAACCACCTGTGCGGCGGGGGGGGGCGCCGGGCGCCTGCCTGCGGCAGCTCCGTGTCGCGGAGACGCCGGCGCTGGTGTGAGGCACCGCGTGCGCCGCTCGGCCTTGAACGATCGCGGCGTCCCGTCAGCGCATGTCGCTGGATTGGAAGAGGCACTATATGTTAGGAAAAGACAAGTACAAAAAAAAGCTTGCGCAACCCCTTGCGCAACCTTGCGCGACCCCCTTGCAATAGAAGAGGGAGAAACAACATATAAACATAAGCTTTTGGCGCTACTCGCGGATTTCTTGGATCTGCGCTGGACCCCCCTCCGCGCGGACCTGCGCGGAGCGCGCCAGGGGCGGCGTCGGAGGAGCCGCCGGGGGGCCCAGGCGCGGATCCGAGTAATCCGCGCGGAGCGCCACAAAGTTTATGTCTGTGTGGTTTCCCCTTCTTCGATGTAAGCCCCGTGCGCAACCCCTCCAAAACTTCATTCACGCATGGGCATAAGCACTCGGAGGGCCGCGCCGGTTTCTTGGATCGGCGCCCGACCATCTGCCTGGGGGACGGAGCGCGCCAGGGGGCGGCACTGGAGGCGCCGCGAGGGAGCTCCAGCGCCGACGCCAGAAATCAGCGCGGACGTTCGAAGGTTCATGCTGTTGCCATTCTCTGTCCCCCGACTCTTACAGCGCAGATCGTTGGATACCTGGTGGGCCTTTTTCCACCACCAGCACCACCAGAAGTTGGAGGGGGGGGTCCTTCTCCTCCTCCTCCTCCTCCTCCTCCTCCTCCTCATTCTCCTTCTCCTCCTTTTCCTCCTCCTTCTCCTCCTCTTTCTCCTCTTCGTCCTCCTCCTCCTTCTCCTCCTTTTCCTCCTCCTTCTCCTCCTCTTTCTCCTCTTCGTCGTCTTCCTCCTCCTCGTCCTCCTCCTCCACCCCCTCCTCCCACTCCAAGTTCTGGTGGTGGTGGTGGTGGAAAACCGGCCCATCTAATCTGGGCAACTGGCAGCGCACGACCTTGAGCGCCTTGGGGGCGCTCGTCGCCGTGTCGGCACGGCGCGAACCTGCAGAATCCCCTCCCGTTCGCAGAATTGGCGGGCGCGGTCGAGCGGGGGCAGACGAACCACCCTCTATACTTAGCGCCCAATGCAGGCGACTCCTTGTATTGCAATAGGGGCCCGACCACAGGAAAAACCTTCCACGGGAAACCCAGCCCTGGGATCCCGGGGCGTCCATTGATTTTTGGTGCGGGAGCGTCACCCCTTCCACGGCAAAACTATCGAAACCCAGCAAACCCAGGGCACCCTGGATGAGCAGGGTGTCTCTTGGCATGGGCCCCCACTGTAAACTCACCCGAGGAAGGAGCCGAGCAGCGCAGGACTGCTCAGTAGACGCCCAGGAAGCCACAGCCAACTCCAGGAACTGGTGGGGTCGGGGTGGGTGTCCCCCCTTCGTGCCACGAGGTGCAACGGCGGCGGCGCGAGAGGGGGGGGGGGCATCTGAGCAGCCCGTGTGCAGTGGAGGCCAGTCCACAAGAAACCTTCCACAAGAAACCCAACACTGAGACCCCAGGACGTCCACTGGATCTCGGTGCGGTTGCGTCCCGCTCTCCATGGCAGGACCATCGAAAACCAAGAAACCCAGGGCACCCTGGGGAGGCAAGCCAGGTGCTTCTTGGCACGAGTCTCCACTGTATAAGGACGCTCGGTGAGGATGCAAACGGCCCTGAAGGGCCCTGCTAGCGTCTTTGCGAACGAGGCTGGCCAGCGAACGTCGCTGAGGATGGGGGCATGCGAGGAGGAGGAGGAGGAGGAGTAGGAGGAGGCGGAGGAGGAAGAGGAAGAGGAGGCGGGGGATGGATGGAGGACAGGGGGAAGGGGAGGAGGCGGAGGAGGAGAGTCGGTGGAGGAGGAAAGGGGGGGGGAGAGAGGAGGAGAGGAGAGGAGGAGGAGGAGGAGGAGGAGGAGGTAGGGGGAGGAGGAGGGGGAGGAGGGGGAGGAGGAGGAGGAGGAGGGAGGAGGAGGAGGAGGAGAGGAGGAGGAGGAGGAGGAAGAGGAAGAAGAGGAGAAGGGGAGGAGGAGAAGGAGGAGAGGAGGAAGGGAGAGGAGGAGGAGAGGAGGAGGAGGAGGAGGAGGAGGAGGAGCCCGCCCTGCCCACACATGCCTCAAAACTGCCCCCCCCAGGAGGAGGAGGAGGAGAGAGGAGGAGAGGAGGAGGAGGACGAGGAACAGGAGGAGGAGGAACAGGAGGAGGAGGAGGAGGAAGAGGAGGGGGGGAGGAGGATGGGCCGCAGAGGCCTGCATGCAAGGGGTAGCCTTGGACAGGAGGAGGAGGAGGGGGAGGAGCAGGAGGAGTTTCCCGACCCCTCCCGGGATCACTCTCGAACAATGCTCCAAGCGGATCCGGCCGTGGCGACGAGAGGCCTCCGTGAGGCCCGAAGGGGGCGACGCACTACCAGAGAGGGCCTCCGCTGCCTCGACCGGGCCTCCTCCGACCTGCTCTTTGGAGGGCCTCCCCCATTATCCTCCTCCTCCTCCTCCTCCTCCTCCTCCTCCTCCTCCTCGAGCGTAGCTGGGGCGACCAAGTCTGGATCTATCGAGCTGCTGGGCGGGCGACCTGATGCCGCACCTGACGGAGGAAAGCCGCCAGGCGCCTCTGTGTGAGTGGCTCTCCTGCTGTTCGAATTGCGTTGTGCAAGTAGAACGCAGATACTGCAATCAGCAGATAATTGCGAAATGGACTCACAAGACCAAGGCGCTGGATAGGGCACTGCGGGAGCTGGGAACGAGACGAAGTAGAGAGGAAACGTAGGAAGTGGGGCAGGACCAGATATGGACAAGCGAAAGCAGATAAGCACATCCGAAAGGGCAACGCTGCTGTTCCTGACCTCCTCCTCTTCCTCCTCCTTCTCCTTCCTCCTCCTCCTGTTCCTCCCCTCTTCTTCCTCCTCCTCGACCGGGAAGGCCTCCCCCCTTTCCCCCATCGCACAGCCCCTTTTGTTGAGGGGGAACGAGGGGAGGAGACGGGCCCTGGCGGAACATTGAGCTGGCCTCGGCGACACATCGCCGATCTGGGCCCCCGATAGCGAATCCGCCCGCTCCTGGGCAAGGTGGGCTGACAGGCCCCTATATATGGGTATGTATGTACATGAGTACCTATAAATATATGTATGTATAATTATATATACCGATGACGATGAGAAGGACGATGACGATGACGATGCTGCTGCTGTTGCTGCTGTTGCTGATGATGATGATGATGGTGATGATGATGATGATGATGGCGCAGCCCCTTCAAGCTCCAGATCCCCAAGAACTCACATCACCGCTGAAACAGAGCTCGAATGTGAGGTTTCCGCTTCGAGATAGCCCTCGCACGAGCTTTGTAAAACGCGAGTATGTACTCAGGGCCGATCCGTTTCATGCTCCTGAGAGAATTGAACGTGCTGAATAAAAGATCGTGAGCTAGCATGGTAGGAGTACAAGGCAGGAGAGGAGGACGCATTATGACTGTGAAGCAGCAAGCGGTCCTGGGCCGCCCAGGAGAGGAAGTCAGCGGGAAGATGGGGCAGGACAAGACAGAGTGGCTCGAGGGCACATGGGCAGTCAAACTAGTGGAGGATTTGATCGCCTCCACACGCTCTGCACCCGAACAGACAAGCATCCCGCCCCTGACGATACCTAGCACTGGTGGCCCAGGAGTTACATATACCTTTCAATACAGCAGCGCCCACAGATGGGGCTAGTGATAACAAGCTTGATACGCATAACAATTAAATCAGCCTTGGGAAGCTGGGCAGTGTTGTCAGCATGTCTGATACGAGGGAGGAGGGCAGAATTGGCAAAGATTGGTGCCTGCCTACGGCTCAGTAGGGTATTCACTTTTTCTGCAGCATGTCAGTGTCGGGGTCATCTATCATCATGGGAATAGCAGCCAGCTGATTGTAGTTGGTAACCACTGAATAACATATACTGGATTCGTACCACTCTGTGTGACGAAGAACTGCTAGCCGATCAATCTCCTCGTCCTCCAGCCAAGCAAACCTTCCTCGCACTTCGGAGAACAATTGAGATTTTAGGGCGACCCGATACATACTGGCTCTGGTTTCTCTCTGGAGGTCTCTGGGATCGTGGGGAAAACAGAGCATCGACGGGGGCCTCAGAATATCGGCTGGAATGGAATGCCTGGGAGCGGATGCAAGAAGCTGGTGGGTCTCTCTCTCTCTCTCTCTCTCTCTCTCTCTCTCTCTCTCTCTCTCTCTCTCTCTCTCTCTCTCTCTCCCTTTGCAGCACAGCCGGTGGAGCCTGGTGCAGCTGGCCCGCAAAGCTGAACACGGAGAAGGCCAGCGCGTTGTCGGTAATGATATTCTGACATAGCCCAAGGGAAAGACCTTTGATGTGCCAGGCTCGCCTGAAGCATTTGGTCCCGGGAGCGCCCCAGGACACCGTGGGCCCCTTCGGGCCGACGTAAACTCCCAGGTACTTGCCGAAGGTGTCGACCCGATACGGCCGCGCTTTAATGCCAGATCCACGAAACATCTCACACGCATCTCTCCTGGAGTATGGCACAGCAAATACCAGCGAGCACTTGCCTGGGTTCAAGATCAGGCCCGTCACCACCGCGGCCTGCGAGAGCAATCCCAGCACGATGGGGAGCGTGCGGACAAGGTCGCAAGAAACAATGTTTATGTCGTCCGCGAATGCAAAAGGCCGAGCCAGGGGTGTCAAAACTGAATACATGCACCTGAAAATGGGGTCAGCAGCTAAAGCAAATAGTACGCCAGATAATGGACATCCCTGTTTGATACCACGCGTGATATAGTAGTCTTTGAACGTGCCTCCTCCGAGCCTGATACTTGTGTAAATATCACGATGCAGTTGTTGAACAGCGTCCACGACATATTCTGGGATAAGCATATGTTGTAATACGGTCAGGATCCATGCATGCGCTAAGCTCGGGAAAGCAGCGGCACAGTCGAGCAGAAAGAGGCCAGCTCGATCGGCACCTTGAAACACTGCATGCTCCAAAAAGTCCGACTCTATCAGCATCATGTTGTCTAGCATACTCCTGCCTTTGATAAGCCCAGTCCGATTTCTGCGCATGGAAAATTGAGCCTGTTGCCCAAAAGGAATACTCAGCAGCGACGCAAAGGTTTTGTTATCAGTATTGCCCAAGAATAACGGACGGGTCTCCTGTGCTTTTCTCTGCGCGTCTCTCAGGGGGTCGCCCTCGAGATTTTTGGCCGGGAAAACTGTGGCCCCACGGTTGAAACCTCCAGGAAGAGAGTGTCCAGACAAAAAACTCAAATAAGCTTGGTATAAAGTCTCCTTCCACTCGATGCTACACCTTGCCCAGCCCGAGTACGGGATGCCATCGGGACCAGCCGCAGTGTCTTTCTTGCGATGAAGAAAGCCGAGCATGTCAGAGAGCGGAACAATCCAGTTGATCCCAGGAGAAACTTTCTGGCAGCGAGCTAGTCGCATCTCTGAAATGCGCGGGGGCACGTTCGGCGCATCCGCGGCGGTATGCACGCGGCCCCAATGCTCAGCAAGTCGGGCGGCACTGCCCTCTAAACTGGTGGGCGCGCGCCCTTGATTGCCCAGAATGCCTACGAGCGAAATTCGTCTATGCTTGGGAGACCAGGCCTTCAAAAGTTTGCGCAGCTTGACTGTGCGCTCGTCGTCGCACTGGTACTCTGGGGGCTGCTCGTGCTCACGGAGCCCGAGAACCAGGATGCGCTCTTGTATGATGCGGATGTGCTCGTTGAACCTCGCCTGATCTATGATGTGCTCGTGCTGCTCATCTGTGAAAAGTGCGATGTGGACGTGTGCACGTGCGCACTTGCGCATGATGTGGTTTTGTCCGTTCGCGCTGGCACGCATGCATTTAAAACAAACTATGAGACGGTGAGTATCAGCTTGTACGCCGTATCGGTAAATGCGTGACTTAATTTCCGCTGTCGCTATACGCATGCACTCTGTGATCCCTTCTAGAGCGAGGAGGGGGCCCGTGGAGAGGTCGATTTGGGCCCGGGCTTCATCCGCCAGCTGTGCAAATTCAGGGTGGGCGGTCACCCAAGGTGGAATACTGGCCTGGGGCCGAAGCCCTGGAAGAAAAACGAATGAAGACAGGAACGCGATCATTCGGCTCACCAGCTTTCAAGACGTGCCCAATGATTCCAGCAGTAGGCTTGGCTTCCAAGACTGTAGCCGTGGCAGCATATATATATATATATAAATATATATATATATATATATATATATATATATGTGATCAATGCGTCCCAGAGACTGAATACCTTCCCCAAGGTCCCGTGGGCTCGTCTTGCGCCAGCTCGAGCGCATTCGGGAAGCGCTCGCGAAAGCGCCGAAGAAGAGCAGGACGTTCAGGACGCTGATACCCACCATCACTCCTGATTCGGGTCTCCCCTGACCCTAGGGAGTTAAAATCGCCTGCAAGGAAAGACAAGCACGAGCTGCTGTGAGGGAGGGTCTCTGCGATTTTCTCGAGAACAGAAAACGTCTCAGCATCATTGAGAGTGGGATCGAGGTGGATATTGTGCACTTTGAGGTCACCCTGAGGTCCTTGGAGAGAAAGAGAGAGGAGACGGCCGCGTACATGCTCGCAATGCTCCACATTCGTGAAGTTGGCAAGGAAAGAGTTGGCCACGCTGATCGTAGCTCCACCCGCATCCGGGCTCTCACAAAACTTGCCGAAGTGCGTGTGCATGGGAAAATCCCTGCGCAGGGTCTCGAGGCCAGCATATGTTCCGTGTGTTTCTTGCATGAGTATAAAGGTATGTGCTTGATAAGGTTGCGGAACTTGCAAATCCGATTTCTCTGCCGTATGTGATCACCATACACCCTTCCAAAGAAGGCTCTTGAATTCCATGTGCTAATCGACAGGTGCTGCTTCATCTGCCACGGACATTCAATGAGAATGTCTGCAGCGCTGCCCGGGGGGGGGGGGAGGAGGAGGAGAGCTGTGCTTAAATCGCTTCCCAAGACTGCGAGCGAGGGCGGAGGCGCGCGGGGGAGAATCAGCAGTATAGGCAAACACAGATGCGGCAGCATCGTCATATTTAACAGAACATGGTGCGCCTACTTCTTGCTCGTGGTAGGCGCTGTTGACCGCGGCAGGCAAGTCCTGGACATTCTGCTCTGCGAGGCCGAAACTGCGAAATTCCTGAGCGCAGGTCTCGACCACCACCTCCGATTTAGTCCATGACGAGCGCATCACCAAATCAATCGGCTCGTCGCGCACGGTGGTGTAGCAAAGGCCCTGGTACTTGTTGCAGGCGAGCACTGTCGTAGGTGTCCAGCATCCGTTCGTGCGCATGTACGCGCAGATCTGCTTCCAGATGAGCCCGAGGACGTAGCCCTTCTTCTTAATGCCATACGGTTCGTCGAAGCCAATGCGCAGGTCATGCTGCGTGCCAGTTGAGGCTTGGGTGAACTTGATAGGGTGGTCGCGAGCCCGCTCATAGAAAGACTTCGCGTGCCCCTGTGATTCAAACTTGATAACATACGCGAATCGTAAGCTCTGACAGTGTGGTACACATTTATCACGATACTCCTGCGGCATATTGGCTTTGAGGATCGCAAAGTGTCGTTCAAATACGTTTTTTTTTTTTTTTTTTTTTTTTTTTTTTTTTTTTTTTTTTTTTTTTTTTTTTTTTTTTTTTTTTTTTTTTTTTTTTTTTTTTTTTTTTTCAGCTGCTTATTTGGAAATCCACGAATCCAAATCTTCGTCTTTTTCTGCAGGCACTGTAAGTCGCACCGTGGATGGAGCCGTGGATGGTGGAGCAGTCGAGCGACCCGATGCCGAGCCACGTACGGCGGCCCATGGGTCTGAGGGTGGCTGGTCCATTTTGCGCTGCATCTCCGCGAAGCTGGCCTCGAGACTTTGCAATCTCGCTGACGCCGAGTATGTGCTTGCCATCCCGTCGACCTGCTCCATTTCGGTATCTGCTCCCTGCTGCTGTCTCTGAAGTTTGAGTTCCAGCTCGTCCATGCGTGCGCTGTGGGCCTGAATGTCATCCTTCATGGAGTTGATGGTGGCTGCGTTCTGTTGAACCTCTGCAGAGAGACGCCCATCCATCTCTTTTATGGCCGTCAAGTTGCCAGCGAGCGTTGCGTTCATCGAATCCATCTGGGCATTGAGCGGCCGAAGAGTCTCATTCAGCATGATCCGAAGAGCCGCTGGGTCGAGAGCCATCGCAACGAAGGAGAGATGCACTCACTGGCTGGTATGATACAAAGAAGCAAAATGCGTGTGGTTGAAGTGCAAATAAAATGCGGTGACCCATGTCCTTGGGGCCTCTCCAGGGTCACTCACGCGCGCGGCGGGCGCTGGCCACTTGAGTCGGGGGGTTGAGCTCCCGATATGGCCTTGAGCCAAAAGGGCTTGAGCCAAAATGGCTACGGACTCTGCTGATGATGATGATGCTGATGATGATGATGATGATGATGCTGATGATGCTGATGATGCTGCTGATGATGATGATGATGATAATAATGATGATGATGAATGGGCAATTGGGGGTCGATGCGTCCCCCTTGAGCCACCCCCGCCTAGTATTGACACAGCTAGCTTACCTGGGAGATGCAATGTATCCAGCAATGATGTCCGCACACCCCTGGTCCGCATCTTTCTCCTGGACGCCCACAAAGATCGCAGGAGGTGAGCCCTCCCTTTCCCAATCCAGTCATTTCGTCGGACCGGGTCGGTCGAGCGAGCCTCGTCGTCTGGTCTTCGTCGCAGGACTCGGGGCTCCACGATTCGGGCAGTCACAGAACGCTCTCGGCGAAGCGCAGATATTGGAATGATGGGCAAATGTTCCAGCACCGCTACAGTATCTAGGACGGGGGAGAAGGGAGGATGAGAAGATCCTCCTTTTCCTGCTCCTCCTTCTCCTCCTTCTCCCTCTCCTGCCAATGGCAGTGCTGGTGCACAATGGGCCCGTCGTGGAGAGCCGCCCGCAGCTGGAAAACCGCCAGGAACACAGGGAAACGTTCGAACACCTCGGACCTCGAAGCCCCCACGCCTCGACCCTTCTCGTCCTCCCTCCTCCTCCTCTCTGCCCTCCCTGCCGAACCCCTCCCCTCCCCTACTCGTTCCAGCGCCCCCTCTCGGGAGGCACGCAAGGGGGGGATAGCAACGGGTAGGGGAGAGAATCAGCTCACGTAGCTCATTCCCCCGGCGCCTACCGGCGCCGCGAGGCGCCCGTGCATCGAGGAGTGGGCCCGGCGGCGGGGCCGAAACCAGCTGCATGCAGCAGATTTCGTACCCCCCCCCCTTTCCCTATCCCCCCTTTTCGTTCGGCCCGACTCCCCTCCCCTGCTCATTCGAGCGTCCCCTCCCGTTCCCAATCGACCAACGTCACGATCACAATGGAATGTGAGTCGGAACCTTTGGCCAGAATTTGTACCACTAGCTTCCGATAATGGTGCCGCAGGGCTTGGTCGGGCATGTACAGGCGGATTCAAGAGGCAAACCTAAAAATAGTCAAACCGATCTTCAAAATAGTCAAACATGATAGAACAATCGTCCCCAGACTGTTGTTTGAGTATCTTTGAATATTCCTCCTGTCGAGAAACATGCTCGACTTAACCGTAGACTCGTCATCACACCAGTCTTCATTATATTGGCCTGGTTGGCCGCCTCATGATCAGGCGGCCAGAGGCGCTGGCGGTAGACGAGGTGCCTGCGGAATCCCCTTCTGCATCGCACCCGGCAGCATAACGCGTGGTGAGTGCGCAGGCGTCGCGCACTACTCACTTGTCGCTGCTCGTTGTTCACCCTCCCAAGTCTCCCTCCCCCTCCCGCATCCCTCTCGCCCTCCGAGAGCGGACGAAAAAAACGTCCGCCCCCGACGCGGTCGTCCGCCCCCCTCCCCCGCTCGTCCGGCCCGAGAGAAAGCATGGGCAAACGGTCGGGGTCGGCCAAGAGGGGGAGGGGGGGGCAGGGACGCATCGAAGTAAGAACAGGCGCCATGAAATCTGGGGAGATCTCATGGCCTCAGCAATGATAGATACACCCTCCTAAACAATTGCTCAAAATGAATACTACTCTCCCTCTTCCCCTGATGACGGTTTGAAAGTGCTCGAACCCCCCCGCGTGCTGTTTTTTACACAGGTTTCCCCGGCGTTGGGTTTTCGCCTGCATGTTTTCAAAATGCTGCTCTCGCTGAGACGCCAGCCTCATTTTCGGGCCCCGCTCGTTCCGAATCGTGCTCCCGCTGCAGCGCTGGCCTCATTTCCGTGCTTCCGCTCGTTCCGAATCGTGCTCCCGCTGCAGCACTGGCCTCATTTCCGCGCCTCCGCTCGTTTCGACTCGTGCTCCCGCTGCAGCGCTGGCGTCATTTCCCGTGCCATGCCACGGCATGCAATGCAATGCTAGGTTGATACTACGCTTTGCGGTGCTTTTCTACGCCATGCCATGCCGTGCTCTACAATGCATCGCGTACCCTTTCGGGATCATTGCCCTGCTCGACATCCGACTGTGCGAGTAGAGAGGGGGGATCTACGCCATGGTAAGGGATGGGAGGGAGGGGTAGGATGTTAGATATGACGCGAGCGCACCTAGCTTGTCATCACCCCCTCTTTGCCACCCCCGAAACGGGCGCCCTGCGACGCCTCTTGGTCAGAAACATCCCAGACTGGGGCCCCCTAGTCATGACCCCCCTCTTTGCCGCCCCCGAGACGGGCGGCATGCGACGCCTCTTGGTCAGAAGCATCCCAGGACGAGATGGCGGCGCGCACAACGGGGTGGAGGGAGGGGGAGGGCTTCTTAGAAGGAGGCTGCTTCTTAGAAGGTGGCGGCCCTGTATCTACAGATAAGGCCCGCGCCCTCTAAGAAGCAGGGGTGCTTCTAAGAAGCCTTCCCCCCTCTCCCCACCCCCCCTCTGGGCGTGGCCGGATGAGGCCTGAGCCCTACAGGGTCCAGCGGCACGCGTGCTTCTGACCGAGGAGGCGGCCCCTTTTTTGGTAGGTTGATCTCTCAAGCTCTCCGCCGCCTCTGGCGGTGCGCGTCGCGAGCAGGAACGCAGCAACGCCACAGGAGAGCGCGGCACTGCTGCGTTCCTGCTCGCAGCGCGCACCGCCAGAGGCGGCGGAGAGCTCGAGAGATCCACATGCCAAAAGAGCACGGACGAGAAGGTGGACGAGGAGGTGTTGGAGGAGGAGGAGGAGGAGGAGGAGGAGGAGGAGGAGGAGGAGAAGGAGGACGAGGAGGTGAAGGAGGAGGAGGATCGAGAAGGATCGAGGAGGGCGACCGAATGGGGAGGATCGAGATGGAGTGGGATCGAGGAGGGCGGGGCGGCCTGGGGCGCCTCTTCTTGTCGCCAGAGGCCTCCTTGCCCTCCGCGGCGTCCGCGGAGCCGCCTGCCCCGCAGCACAGCCGCAGGACCCGGGCCATCGCCGGCCGATCGGGGCGGGCGGAGGTAGGAGAGACGAGGGAGGGGAGAGAGGACGAGGAAGAGGGGAGGAGGAGGGGAGGGGGAAGAGGGAGGGGGGGGGGGTGGGGGAGAGGAGGGGAGAGGACGAGGGCAAAGGGGCGAGGGGGGGGAGAGGACGAGGAGGAAGGGCGAAAGGACGAGGGAGGGGAGAGGACGAAGAAAAGGGGAGGAGAGGACATAAGAGGGCGCTCCGCGGGCGGCGGACCACAGGCCGGGGCAGTGTCCTCCTCCTCCTCCTCCTCCTCCTCCTCCCTCCTCCTCCTCCTCCTCCTCCTCTCCTCCTCCTCTCCTCCTCCTCCTCCGCCCCCCTCCCCCTCCCCCTCCCCCTCCTCCTCCTCCTCCTCGTCTCCTCCTCCTCCTCCTCCTCCTCCTCCTCTCCTTTCCTTCTCTCCTTTCCTTCTCCTCCTCCTTTCCTTGCCTCCTCCTCTTCTCCTCCTCGTCCTCCTCCTCCTCTCCTCCTCCTCCTCCTCATCCTCCTCCTCCTCCTCCTCCCCCTCCTCCTTTCTGACGATGCGCAAACGTAGGGCTGCAGCCTGGAGCGTTACTGTGTGGGGAGAAAAGACACATCAACCCAGCGGGCGCAGCAGACTAGAACAGGCACAAAGAAGCAAAAAAGAAGAGGCCCCAAGGGCTACGCGTATGCGCCCCCGCCAGGCAGTAATTAGTACGCTACAACGCATGGGTTAGCTTGGTAACCTCCTCCTCCTCCTCCTCCTCCTCCCCCTCCTCCGCCTCCTCCTCCTCCCCATCCCCGTGCCGACGGCTTCCCGCAGCCTCTGGGGTTTCACTCTTGCGAGGAACGCACGGCGTGCCGGCAAGAGAAAGCGTATCTGCGCCCTCGATGGGCACCTTCACATGCACCCCATTCGGTTAAGGAACTGGGGCGACATCATCAATCCTTCTTGCATCCTGCCTCCACCGCTACCCCGTACTCCTCGGCCATCTTGTCACCCCAATTTCCCTGCCCTCCTCCAGCTCAACCAATCGTAGGGCAGGCCAGACTTCGGGAAGCCATATCCGGCGGCACCGACCGCTACTCCTCCTTTTGGAGATTGGACCTTCCGGTCCCCATCCCAGGCATCTCTGGACCCACAGCCCTGGCGTCTCCGTGGACCGTCGGTCGCGCTTGTCTCGTCGCTCTGTCTGCCCTCTCGCGTCGCGCTCCTCCACGGCTCGTCCTCTTTGAGCGCATCTGCACTCTCGATGCGCAACCCTTCGGTCAAGGAGCTGGGGCGTCACCAACAATCCTTCTTGCATCCGGCCTCCACCGCTGCTACCTAGTCCTCCTCGGCCATTTTGTTCCCCGATGTCTTTGCTCTCTTCCAGATCATCTGTCTACCCCCGCTAACTGTAGGCCAGGCCAGGCTTTGGAACGCTTATCTGCCCATATATGGCGGCACCGACTACTACCTGAAATTCATTGGGGCACAACTTTGGACCTTTCGATCCCCAGTCCACGCATCATTAGACCCGGAGTCCACTGCAGCGCGCCCTCCTCATGTGCCTGATGTCCACACGTCCCATCCCAGCTGCCCCTGACCCTTTCTCTTGCTACCATGTATCCCGCCCCACCATACATCTTGCCCCATCTCTCTGCTGCCTGCCCCACCCTCCAACTACCCTGGTGGCCGCCTCTCTCCATCTCTCTCTGTCTCTCTCCCCCCTTCTCTCTCTCATCATCCGCTCTCTCATCGCCGCATTTCCCACCACCGCCCCCCCCGCTACCTGATTTCCCACATGCTCTTTCCCATGCAGGGACCAGCCACTCTTTAGGCTGTGTACTTCGCCGGTCTCCTCCTTTTCCTCCTCCTCCTCCTCATCACGCTGCTCCTCCTCCTCCTCCTCCTCCTCCTCCTCCTCCTCCTCTTCCCACTCCCTCTCCTGAGATCAATGCGTTGCATGTCTTTCACGCTGGGCGGTATCGCCCGGTTTTGGATCCAGGAACCATCACACACCGATCTGGTTCGAAAAATGCAGCAGGAAGATTGGGTCTAGGGCCCCAGCCCTGATTTTTCGCGATGGTGCACACGAGCCCAACGTAATTTACAACGGACGGTCTGATCCACCCCGTTCTGGACTCACGCGCACACCCTACCAGCCCATTGCTTCTTGAGGGGGCTGCGGCGGGGGAGGGGGGGAGGAAGGGACACTGGCCAAACTCTGAAAAAAAACCTCCTCCCTTCCAATGCCCTGGACTCCCCCCCTCCGAGTAGAACGGATGCGAGCTTCTCGCGGAAGTTGCGGGGGAAGTCGCGCCCGTTCGCCTGGGGCGGAGGTGACTGACGGACGGAAAGACTTGGGGGGGGGGGGGAGTGGGGGGGAGGGGGAGAGAGACGGGGGGAGGGAGGGAGGGAGGGAGGGACGGAGGATGGGATCCTCGAGAATGTGGGGGTCTGACGCGAGGTGGACGCATCTCGCTCCCAAGAGTCTGGGCCGAGACGCCCAAGAGGCTGCCGCTTCTGTTTTTTTTGCCAGCGAGCGGGAGCCCAGTGGCAGAGCGCAAGGGGGACGACACGACGCGGCGATGGAAACGACGGACGACAGACGGACGACAAGCGCGCGGGGCGGGGAGGGCGAGGGAAGAGGGGGAGGGCAAAGGTCCAGCTGTCACACCTGGTTGCAGGAGATTGGCGGGTGCCTGCAGCGTGTGCGCGGGTGCTCGCAGCGTGCGCGGGTGCCCAAAGGCGATCGGGGAGGGTGACCAGGAGCGGGCGCAGGGAAGACTGAGGGAGGAGGGCTGCCGGAGGGGTGGGGAGAAAGAGAGGAGGAGAGAGGAGCAGCGGAGTGGAGGAGAGGGGGAGGCAGGGGAGAGGAGGAGAGAGGAGGCGGGGGGGGAGGCGGGCAGGAGGGATGGAGAAGGAGCAGACGAAGATGATGGACGATGACTCGGCCTGGGAGGTCTTCCTCCTCCTCTTCTCCTCCTCCTCCTCCTATTTCTCCTATTTCTCCTATTTCTCCTCCTCCTGCTCCTGCTCCTCCTCCTCCTGCTCCTCCTCCGCCTCCTCCTCCTCCTCCTCCTCCTCCTCCCCCTCCTCCTCCCCCTCCTACGAGGGGGGAGGAGGCAATCACAGGCCCTCGGCCCCCGACGCCCGACGCCGTGCCCAGACACCCGGCGCTGCACGGCACACCTCGGCGCCCGAGGTGGCGTGGGGCCCTCTGGGCGCATTGGCCCTCGCCCAGAGATCGCGTGCGCCCCACGAGGCACGCGACGGCCCGGGGTCACGTCGGGTCTGTCCCTCTACAGGAGGAAGTTCCAAGACTAGTCAAACAAATAGTCAGGGGACGATGTCTCGACTATTGTTGATCATTTCGGTGTATGTTTTGACTACTTTCATTTGTCGTTCAAAGTCCGCCCTCGGGCGGACATGCCCGACCTAAGCCTGGGGCACTGGTGGCCCAGCCGCCGAGCTCGAGGAGCCGCAGGCTCGAACGACGACGACGACGACGACGACGACGACGACGACGACGACGACGACGACGACGACGACGACGACGACGACGACGACGACGGCGGCGGCGGCGGCGGCGGCGGCGGCGGCGACGCGACACCAAGGCCAGCTCAGTGCTGCTCGTGGTCGATGTGGCGCCTCAGGACGGCCAAATCGACCACGACCACAACCAGAGTGCTCGTGCCGAGGTTAGGGGGCTCTCCCCCGAGAGTTCGGTGGCAACTCATGGGAACCTCCCATACCATCTTGTCGGCTCTTGCGAATCGAAGCTAGTCGACGCTAAACGGACGCTACCAGACACTCCCTCGACGCCAATCAACGCTAGCCGACGCCAATTCTGCGCTATCAAATCCACGCCCAAACGCTAATCGACGCTAAACACAAAATTCTAAGAAGGCACACCCGGCTCCAATGATTTGTTCTACAGAGCGAGGGGCCCTCCCGAAGAATCCACCCAGAAGCGCAGACGCCCCCAGAATCGAATCGATGAGTCGGATCGGCGACCGAAATGAGTCGGATCGGCGAAAATCGGCAGCCGAGTCGGGAAAAGTCGAATCGGCGGAAATCGGCAGGCTAGTATGCCTCCAGTGGGACGTCGGAACCCAAATCAGAATCCCAGGCCGAATCGAATCGGAATCGCAAGCCATCGAAGTCGAATCGAATCGACTCGGAACGAGCCCTGTTGCGGTGCCCGGCGCAAGGGCGAGCCGCTGGCCTGGCGCATGAGCACCACCACGTCCCGCACGTCGCCACCGCCCGGCGCGGCGTCCTGTGGGCCCGGCCCTCCTCCCGACGGGGCCCTGCCCCATCTGAAGAAAAAGCGCCCTCTCCGGCAGATGCTGCTGCTCCCAGGAAGGGGGGGAGGAGGAGGAGGAGGAGGAGGAGGAGGAGGAGGAGGAGGGAGGAGGAGGAGGAGGAGGAGGGAGGAGGAGGATGAGGAGGAGGAGGGAGGAGGAGGAGGGAGGAGGGAGGAGAAGGAGGAGGAGGAGAGGAGGAGAAGGATCGAGGAGGAGGAGAGGAAGAGGAGGAGGAGGAGGAGGAGGAGGAGGAGGAGGGAGAGGGAATGAGCGGTGAAGCGAGGGTGGGAGGGCGCGGAAAGAAGGGGGGCGAGGGAGCAGCAGCAGCAGGAGCGAGCGAGGGAGAGAGAGAAGGCCGGGGGGAGGGGTCGGGATAGGTACGATGGGTTCGCGTCGTGTCGACTGGCAGCGACTCCGCCGTCGGCATTCAACGTTGAGCGCCTCGGCGACCTAGACTCGGTCGACTCTGAACGATCTGGCGTTTCGGAGATTGCCGATCGTGCAAGGCTGAACCATCCCCGCAGTGTCAGGAACGAAGGCCGCAGTCGGCACGACACGAACTTCGCTAATTAGGCAGGCAGGCGTCCTTTCGTCGAGGGCCGTGTGGTGGGCCCGCGGGCCCGGGTCCTCTGTCAGAGGGTCGGAGAGCGGAGGGAAGTGCGGAGAAGCGGGACGAGGCCGACTCCTCCTCCGCCTTCTCCTCCTCCTACTCCGCCTCCTCCTCCTGCTCCTCATCCTCCTCCTCCTCCTCCTCTTCCTCGTCCTCCTCCTCCGCCTCCGCCTCCTCCTCTTCCTCCTCCCCTCCCTCCTCCTTCCTCGTCCTCTCGTCCTCCTCCTCTCCTCCTTCTCCTCCTCCTCCTCCTCCGCCTCCTCCTCCCCCTCCTCCTCCTCCTCCTCCCCTCCTCCTCCTCCTCCTCCCTCCTCCTCCTCCTCCTCCTCTCCTCCTCCTCCTCCTCCTCCTCCTCCTCCTCCTCCTCCCTCCTCCTCCTCCTCCTCCCTCCTCTCCTCCTCCTCCTCCATCTCTCCTCCTCTTTCTTCCTCCTCCCCCTCCTCCTCCTCCTCCTCCTCCTCCTCTCCTCCTTCTCCTCCCCCTCCTCCTCCTCCCTTTCCTTCTCCTCGACATGTCCCCATGGCGTGGCCTCCTCCTCCTCCTCCTCCTCCTCCACTTCCCTCCTCCTCCTCCTCCTTCTCCTCTTCCTCCGTCTCCTCCGCCCGCTTCCTCCTCCGCCTGCTTCCTTACCCGCTTCTACTTCGGGACAGACGAAGCCATGACGAGGGTAAAATCGGGGATGGGTAAATCGAGAATCTCTGGGGTCTGGCCGCTCCGGAGGATGTCTCGGGCGCCGCGGCCTTCTCGGAGCGTTCCAGAACGTGGCGGGCGGGCAGCTCGGCATACCCTAAGGGTATACCGAGCGTGGCGGGCTCGCGGCAGGAAGCCGCGGGGCGGCGCTCCGGCGTGCCGTACGCGTCCAGCCGAGGGAACGTCGGGTCGTCGCCGCCCAGCTCCAGGTCCAGGAAGACCTCGCCGGCCACCCCGGGGAGGTGGAGGAAGGTCGTCTTCGGAGGCCGATCCTTGTTTTCGTTGGTCGGCGCCAAGGTGGGGAGGAGGGGAGGGGAGCGGACACGGCGACGCGGACAGGGAGGGGCGGAAGCGAGTCTTGGGAGGTGCCTCGAGGTCTGCGCAAATGTAGGCTCCTGAAGCCCAGGGTGGCTTCCGCGGGCTGCGCCTCGTCGCGGGCGCTCGGGAACTGCCAGAATCGCCCCCAACGGCAGCCCAGGTCCCGAGGAATAGCCTGAGGTCGGGCATGTCCTCCTACAGGCGGATTCGGGCGAAGATTGAAGACTTTGGGCAAACATTTGAAGCAAACCAAAAATCAAACACTACTCCAAAATAGTCAGTACTAGAAAAATCCTCCCCAGACTGGCGTTGACTATTTGGACTGCTCCTCCTGTGGAGGGACACCCCGACTTCAGAGAACAGCCCGAACAAGAAGCCGACCTCCCCCCGCCGTGAGAGAGAGAGGAGAGCACCACGGGCCGCCCTCTTGGCCGCTCCCTCCGCCCCCGTGGGGGCCCCCCCCTCACCGGGCACGGGGGGGCTGCCCCACCAGAAGCGACTCCTCGCGAGAAGGAGCGAGTGCCCCCCCCTCGGGGAGGAGGCCCCGACCTTCGGGTCGGGCGAAAGGGGGGGATACCAAAGGGGGGGGGGGAGAATCAGCTCACGTAGCTGATTTTCCCGGCGCCTCCCGGCGTCAGAAGCGCCTATGTACCGAGGGATGGGCCCCTCCTCGGTGGGGCCGAGACCGGCTGCCTGCAGCAAATTTCGTCCCCCCCCCCCTTCCCCAACCCCCCCCTCTCGTCCGGCCCGAGACCTCCTTTGGGGGAGCACGGGAGCACCCGCGAACAAGACGCCCACTCCGTCGCCCGCCGTGGGAGGAGCACCGCGGGCCGCCCGCGGCCACTCTCCGCCCCCGCAGGGGGCCCCCTGCACCGGGCACGGGGGCCGCCCCAAGAGCGGCTCGCGAGGGGGAGCGAGTGCCCCCTCGGGAGGAGGTCCTGACCTCTGGAGGAGCCGCGGCGGACGAGACACGCTGCGTCGCATGCCTGGGGGAGGGGGGGTCTTTCGCTCGGGGCGTCCTCGGAAGCCAACGGTTCCTGGTGCGGGGACCGCCAGTCTCCTCCAAAGATCACCGCTCGTTCTCATCTGTCGCTTCCTGGGCCAAGCGGCAGGATCTCTGTTGTCTCGCTGAAGCCACAACCCAACGCCCAATCTTCCGCCGGTCTGCTCCAGGTCGAGGGAGAGAGTTGGGGGGATGTGGAGGAGAGAAAAGTGGGGGAGGGGGGAGAAAGCAATGAGGGGGGGAGGGAAAAGGGAGCAGGGAGGGAGGAGGAGCGAGGGAGGGGGAGGGGAGGGAGCAGGGAGGAGTAATGCGTGAGGAAAAAACAATGAGGGAGGAGGGGTGACCAGGAAAAGGTGGCAGGGAGAAAATAATGGTACGAGGGAGGGAGGGGGGGACGGGGGGGAGGGAACGAGGAGAAGGGGGAGGAGGACGAGGATGGACGACAAGGAGGCAGGGAGGGAGATGGAGGAAGGGAGAGGGAGAGGGCGAGGGAGAGGGAAGGAGGCCAAGGATCTGGTGGCGAGGGGGCTGGATGCCACTCCCTGGCCACCTCTGCTGCTGCAGTCGCGTTTGCGTGCCTTCTGTCTCCGGCGCCGCGCGGGAACGGCGGCAAGCCCCCCGACGCCTCGAGCGCTCGCTTCCCGCGGCCTGCCCAAGCACAAAGCGGGAGGGAAAGCAAAGGGGGAGGGAGGGCGCGGCGTCGCCTCCTCCTGCGCCTCCTCCTGCCCGTCCTCGTCCTTTTTCTCATCGTCCTCGTCCTCCTCGTCTTCCTCCTCCTCCTCCTCCTCTCCTCCTCCTCCTCCTCCTCCTCCGCCCCCCCCCCCTGTTTCCTCCTCCTCCTCCTCCCTCCTCCTCCTCCTCCTCCTCCTCCTCCGCCTCCTCCTCCTCCTCCTCCTCCTCCTCCTCCTCCTCCTCCTCCTCCTCCTCCTCCTCCTCCTCCCCCTCCTCCTCATGTTTCCTAACCCGCTTCTATTTCGGGTAAAACAAATCACTTGCAAGAGCAAATCCGGGTCATAATAATCCAATAATTTCTGAGATCTGGCGGTTCTGGAAGATCCCTCGGCGGCCTTTTCTCAGAGCGTTCCGGAACGCCGTGAAAGCGTTCTGGAACGCCCTGGAACGTATCCATCCTCGTCCCAGCCCCGTCCGAAGCGTGTTCCAACAAGCCGTCCATTAACTGACAAACTGTTATCCGCACAGGGTGTCTCGAAAACGGCGTTGCGCCTGCTGGGGCGGACGACATTGGGGGTAGCAAGGGGCGGGACGGCGAGCCAGCCAGGAGAAAACATCAATTTGGGGAAAATGCTGGGCAGCGGTGCCGAAATCCGAGGCACGCAGCAGATCTCGAACCCCCCTTTTCCCAATTCCCCTCGTTCTTCATTCCAATCCGAGTGATCCTCGTTGTCTGGCTTTCGTGCCATTGCCTCGCTCACGCAGTTGCTGGAAGGCACCCCGAGGCTGGGAAACAGCCAACAGCCAGCGAGATTCGACCCGATCGTCTGAAACTTGGCGTATTTCGCCCGGCGACGCGCGAATACTTTACTCACGCCGTCGGGCGCTCGCGAGACTCCCGTGGACATGGGCAACCGCTCGGGCCCAGACAACAAAGCGCGACGCGCGACAATGTTCGCGCCGCCGCAGATGACCGAAACATCGCTTGACCTGGCTTATTCGGGGGGACGTGAAGGTGGGCCAGGGGCAGGTGGGATTAAAGGAGGATCGCTCCAAACGGCCCCTGGCGTCACTCCGTGATCCTACCTTGGGACGGCCCTCCCTCTACGACCCCCCAGCTTAACCGTCGACCGGTTTTCGGTTGGGCGTCGCTTAACTGGGGAGCTATGCGTGGGGCGGGAAGAGATGTGCGCTTCTCGGGCCCCAGAGGCTCAGAGGCCCCCTCTTGGACCATAAAATTGTGACGCCCCGGAGAAGGCAAACTGCGAAAAACGATCTTATTGCACAGATGAGATCTATGCTACAGAGAACTCACGAAGAAACTCACATGAAATCCGATGCGGCCGTAAACGGAGATGCGAATCCAACCAAACACCGAAGTGCAAGTGTGACGTCGGCGACACATGGAAGTACAAGTGCGACTTCGGCGACAGACTGAAGTACGCATTCGCCTGAACGCAAATGCTAACAACAATGGAATATCACCGCACTAGCTTGGCAAACGCTCGCTCAAATTACTCAGCTCCCTAGCGTCGCGCGCGAAGATCTTCCAGCGCGCTCATATTGTGTTGGCGTGCGCCACGCCCCTGGGCTGAGATGAACTGGCCGCGCAGCAATCCCTTGGATTGCGCACTAAGGCCCCTAGCGCGAACGCCCATGCATCACAAGGGCCGCGGAAACGTTCAGCTCGCTTGGCGACGGCGGATCACCATGCTCGCCAACTGTGCGTCGGCGAAACCAGGACCCAACATGCCCACGCGGTGCCATTGACATGGGGGCTCGCCCGACGTTCCCTGCCAAGTCCAGGGGGGCATTGGTATCGACAGGCGCTGGCAGGTGATTCAGGACACCATGCGACCGGCAGCCGACATGATAAAGGTGGTGATCCCAGCGGGCGACAGCCATTATCGCCGCGATCTACGCCGCAGCGGACAACATCGCGGCAGGCAGCCGACCGCGAACGCCCCGCGCCACCTCGCGCCCCTCGCGCCGACCGCCGCCGCCCCGAAGCACGAACTTCTGCGCGACATGTCCAACATTGACATCCAGAAGCCAGCCCTGCCTGCCCCGCCGCATAGACCACCGCCGCCCGCCCCGGCGACCCCAGCGCCGCCGCCGGGCTCCAGCGCAGAAGCGCAAGTGGCAATCACTGGCGCGCGCAAGACCATCGCAGACCACGCGCCGGCGCAAGATGCCATCGGCAATCGAGGAACCGCCCGAAGCCAGGCCAGCGGACCAAGCACCAACGATAGACGACAAGCAGACAGAGCCGCGACCGGCACGGGCGAGTTTCAACAGCCCACGCCTGGAGGCCACGACCGCCGACACATTGGGCAACCTGCAGGATATCCACTGCGACGACACGGCAAACCCGCAGCGCGGGCCAACGCGTTTGGGGCGCGGCGGACCAAATCTCGCCGCTGCACAATCCTCGAGTACTCAATTCAACGATGCCTTCACGACGAACCTACGCGCACTCTGGCACGGCTGCCTCTCGCGCAAGTGCCCGGGCCCGGCGCGGCCGCTACTCGCGCGGACCTCTGGTCACTGCGCGCTCGCGCATGCATTTCAGTATCTTCGCACGTCGCGCGCCGCGGCGTGAGGCCCGACGCGTCGCCCCGCGACGCTTGCGGGCGGCGGCCGCGAGAGGGGCGCCGCTCGCGCGCTGCGGCGCAACGCAAATGCGACAACGGTGGCGCAGTGCGCCAGCTTGCCCCGCGCGACGGAGCGCCGGCCGCGCGGGGGCGCCAGCGCGCTGCTCGCGGCGCCGACGCGGCGGGCCTCGCGCTCAAGACGGGGCGCGCCTTCGACGACGACGCCCCGCGCAATCGCGGGCGCGCTCGGACTGAAGCGCGCGTCGCGGTCGCGCCGAGCTCAAAGTGGCGCGCGAGCGCAAGAGCACGGGCAACGCGGCGGTCGCTCCGCGAGGCGCCCCTGCGCGGCGCCCACATTGACGGCGCAGACCCGACCGCCGCCCAACGGATGCGAGAGCGCGCGCAGGGGGCACCTGCGCCCGGAACGGGGGCCGCAAAGCAAAATGGCGACGGTCGGCCAGCATGGCTGAGGAGGGCGGCGGGGCGAGGGGCAACGGGGAGGCGGGCCGGCGGGAACAGACGGCGGCGCAGGGGTGTGGGAGGGGAGAAGGAAAGGGAAATGGGAAAGAGAAGGGGGTGAAGGGGGGGGGGGCGGGGGGGGGGTGCGCCGAGGGGGCGGCGCAAGTGACTTAGC